GGATACTAAAGGAGAGTAAAGACGACCCCAGATTATCTTTCCTAACGACTTTTTTTTAATAGTGATTGCATACCTACTAGAGTCACCACCAAAAAAAAATACAAAGAGAACATAAAGGAAAATCGTCAACTAAAGAAAACTTTGAGTTCCTTCATGTTTTAATATTTACTCTGTAAAAAGTTGGAGAAAACAACACAAAATCAGTACTTGGAAAACAAAACATAAGAAACCTGTAAAAAAGAATTTTCTAATGAATTTTAAAACTATTAGGATAAATTTAATGCTTTTTTTTTACTTTATTTTATCATGCTACTAATACAAAAATTGTAAAAATTAGCTCTTATATACAATGTATAGAACTTTTTTTTTTCATTTATCCATAATTTGCTGTAAGATGAAAAAAAAATCAAATTTGATTACTTTTCGATTTTTTTTTTATAAACTACATGAACGTAGTTTTCGTTGTATGAAGGACTTTTAAAAAATATTTTTCAAAATGTCGGTGTTTTGAAAAAAAAGCAATAAAAAAGATACATAAAATAATTGCATCGTCGTGTATTACTCACAACCAGTCAGGCCAATTAAAAAATCCCTAAGTGCAAATCAATTGAAAATTGTACTAGTTAAAGGCACAACAAGTACGAGAAACTTAGTTTCGAAAAAATTGCGTTTAAAGTTCTGTGATCAATAATGCATACAAGTATATAACATTTTGCAAACTATGAATAAAAAAAATAATAGGATACATTAAAAAAATAAATAAAACTTAAACGTTTTCGGACAAAACCTTAAAACTAATACAATACATTATTTTTAACAAGCGAGCGAAAATATTGATAATTTGTCATTTAGATATGAAATTGGATGGTATTTAAGGCTTAAGATTACATATTCATAAATATTTGTGCAGATTGATAAATCTTTTAGGTTATGACTAACTGCGCTAGGCCACGTAAAAATTTTTTCATACTCAGGCAAAACTCATTTGGTTTATATTGTAAAAACTCTTTTGATGCCTGCAATTTTCTTGCAGTTTATGGCAACTTTTTCAAAACATGCTTCCCTAACTGATTATTGTGCTAATTTCAGGGTACTTTTTTTTTATACAGAGTAAATATTTATTTGCATAAGCCACCAATCAAAGCAAGTATAGCAACTTACCAATTGTAATGTTTTCATAAATAAAATTGGTATAATGTGAGACCAGAAAGTTTCTCCTTTTTTGCTTTCCCATATAAGCATTTGGATAACATATTTTTCTTATAATGCTCCGACCACCATCTTTTGAGATAAAGTATTATATTATTTGTAGTCACCTCCATCTACTTTTATGCTTCTTTATTTTCTTGCATATATACCATCTACGGAACTACACTATGAATCACTCATTGTGTGATTAAAAGCATCAACAAAATAAGCTAAAACTAAATAATTGTTAGGTTATGGGAACAATTTCATAGACAGCAAACATCAAGCTATCTGGTGTTTGATTTCCAAGTTTATTTCGAGAACAAGTAATCTCCAGAATATGGCATGTTTTCGAACTAAACTGAGGTTTCTCTGCATAAAATATACTATACCAAGTCAGAGGACATGAAGTTTTCATATCCTATCTATGCAACTACGTCAGCTTAACTTTAAAATGCAATAATGTGAATTTTGAAAAAAAGTGGAGATGACTGGTTTTCGAACTCATCGATTAATTAATTTCTTATCGTTCGAAAGCTATCATAACCCTTTAACCTTCATAAAAAATTATTACAACTAAATAAGATGCATTTTCAATTATTTATATTAAAAGTACATTAATTATTATTTTTTTTGCATTATTTAAAAAAAATATTTCAAAATATTTAAAGTAGTATTTTGGTAATGTTTTTTTTTTTTTTTTTTTTTTTTTTTTTTTTTTTTTTTTTTTTTTTTTTTTTTTGCAGTAAAAGCAAATCTATTAATCAACTGAGCGCACAAGTTCGTATTCATACATGTCACAGTGCGTCCTGTGTTGAGCCCCGCGTTCGACAAATGATGTAATTTTTATATTTTAACGAAATTTTATTTATTTTTTAATTTTATTTCCAATGCAGCAGTCTATTCAATGCAGTAGACATTATCCTAACGCCGTACAGAGATAAAAAAAAAGGAAAAGAAAAATACAAATACAGAAAAGAGATGAAATATACGAAATACAAAAAGAAGAGCAAAACATCAAACACAATTCAATCAAGAATTTAAATTGAACAAAAGGTCTCTGGCCTCCCAGTATCGGCATTCATCGTCGCACCACTGCGGCAGAGGGGGCAGGCAGGATTATCCACTATTTCTTTTTTTTTTTAACGAAAATTAATGCCATGTTTTAGTACAATAATTTGAAAAAGAGCTTTAAAATGATAATAGCAACCGAAGAATGAATTTTTTTTTTCTTTGAAAATTTTACTGTGTTTCCCCTTAAAGTGTTTATCTTTTAGTTCTAAAGACAAGTTTCCCCCTTTAAAATTTATTCTTTTTATACAGCGGTTCCTAGAGTGGGCGCCGCCTTAGAGAGCCGAGATCTTCTTACAAGTACGCCGCAGCATTTCCGTTTTAAAAGAAAAACGGCATTTCCGTGTTTTTTCTCTATTACAATTTGACGTTTAGGTCTGGAGAAGGTGCAATTAACTGAAAGTTTGGACAATACTGTTGTTTATTGTTATGCCTCATACCCCTTTATTAATGTCGCAGATTTCCATCTTGCCGGTGCAATTAAATTCGGCTATTTTTCTATATTTAATATTTTATTTCTTTGGAAGAAATAATCTTCACCAAAAAAATAAAAAGGTTAAAAAAAATTTAAACTTTTTTTTCTCGGGGAAATGGAAAAGTGCCATAAAATGCAAAATGATGCAAATTATTAAAACGGCTAAACTTCTTGTAGAAAAGTGTTTCTCCCTTAAGAAACGAATAATTCTCAATTTTTATTTCTTCATCTTTGTATTAAAACTAATTACTGAAAATAAAATATAATGTATCCGAAAAGTATGGAAACTATCAATTATTTCGAGAAGTACACATCGGATAAAAATGTGATATATTTTCAAATGATGCAATTCGAAAACAAACTTTATTTGGGAACAAAAACAAACACATAAATACAAGGAATATATTTACTATATATACATTTGTCGCCAGGAGGAAAATCCTGTCCAGGCGACAAAGAAAGGTAATACAGTAAATTTAAAATGGAAATTAAGAAAAAGAAGAAAAAAAAAGGGGGGATATTACAATCATAAATTATTTTGCTTATCATAAGACATCATATATTGTTGAACTTTGTAATAATAGGGAAAAAAAATACATGAGACTAAATAAAAAAAAATAACAAAGGTAACATAAGAAATTCATTTGGATTGGCACAAGACTGGTATAAAAAATCAAATGCTTCCTTTAAAGTGAAAAATAGAGATCTAAATCGTCAATGTTCATCACAAATTGAAATAAAGCACTCTTAAAGGAAGAATATATTTGGGTATTTTGCAACTGAAATGGTAATTTATTATATAATTTAGGTGCTAAGCAAAAAAACTGTTTTCGTGAAATTTCTTTTGTAAAGTGGGGAATCTCATATGTTTCAGTTGGTCTCCTTTCAGACATATTAGTTTTTAATTTGCATATTAATTTATTGTTGCGTAAATAAAGTAAAATACGAAAAAATACATTACTGCGAAATGGTAATAGATTAATTCTTGTATATATATTGGTAGTAGTTATACTTGAATTATTTATATTTAGAGAATTAATAATGAAGCATTTATTCTGAACTGAGATTAAAGGAAGTAAATTAGTTTTGATAAGCAATAATATTTAAGTCCATAGGGAAATCCTCATACTGAAATTTCATATGAGACCCTGTATTATGAATGCTTTTCTTGCTATTTTAACAATAATTCGCTGATTATGATAAAAAGACGATTTAGTTGGAAGTATTTCTCACTTTGTTAAGGAGGTATTTTAAATGTTTTTTTTTTCTTCCTTTAAATAAAAGATTTGTAGTTTTCTGTAAGAGTTAATTTTGTTTCATTATTCAAGAGCTCTTTTCTGCCGATACCGTTTTACTCCGAAACTTTTTTATAAATGCATTTTTTTGCCTATAGTCCAATGAAAGATGCTGAACTTGATCATGCAATATAATTTATAAAATACATATAAAAATTCGACACTCTATTGAGATAAGAATTAGATTTGTTAAAATCGGCTAGGTTATTGGCCAGATACTTGAAGCTTTTGAAATTTTAAGCTGGTATTAGAATTCAACAGTTCTTTTTACTCGGGATCATTTGCTTGAACATTAGCCATATCAGAATAATTTAAATCATTTTGTATAGAAAGATTCTAAATACGAGAAAGGGCGTCAGTCACAATATATTCAATATGAAATATATTCTAATCCACAATATATTCTATTTCGGGAGAGCTGTACAAAGTTTACAAATATATATTATTACAAATTCTTGCAATTCAATCGATTCGGGTGAGTTTATTTATTTTTGAAAATAGCAAAAATAAAAAAGTAGTCATTTTTGAGCATTTGGGTGGATTAAACATTTTCCTGAGCAAGGCAAAATATACATTAACTAATGCATTTTCAATGAAACTACGAAAATTCCTATTTCGTGATAGAAAGTGATACTAATCTATTACAAATATTACAAATTCTTACGATTCGGGAGAGCTCAGACTAGAACAGATTTTTGTGACCCTGGGAAATACCAAGTTCACCATAAGCACTATAATTTATTTTTATTGTATTTATTATTTTTTTTTTTTTTACTATTTATGTTTCATTTAGCATTAACCAAAGAAAAAAAAAGTAAGAAAGAAATTTTTTTTTTGATAAATACTATATAGTTTCAACAATAAGTTCAACATTAATTATCAAATTGTTCTTTTGTTTGTCGACGTTTTTGAGAAAGTTATCTTCGTAGTTGCGTATAAATTAACACACAATAAAATTTAATCCTCTACAGATCTTCTAACTTGCTAGAATATTGCCTTAAAAATAAGTACATAATTTGGGGGAATCAACGGAAGTTCAACCCCTACCTGTTACCAGTGAGATTTTTCAATTGAGACTAGTCATTCTTGTTCGAGTCTTTCTTATGAATGAATGAATATTCGACCTCTAAAGTTGCTGCATGCCGTTGCACTTCACAAATGATTTTATGATCCTGAAGTGCGTCATCGAGTTCCGCTATTTTAGGTAAGCAACATTTTTATGAGTTTCCTGCAATGATAGCCAGCATTATTAATTACCCGTTTTATTTGAATATCGAGTTCTTTAATCAAGTAATAAAATGACACTTTATGATTAATATGGTTATCATTAAACATAATTTTTAAGATGAACAATTACTTTTTCTTACTGAAAATATTTGTAAAAAAAAATTAAGTAAAGTTTCGTTTAAGAAATCAACAATATTAAGACTTATTTAAAAAAACTTGCTATGAACTATGTTTCCCCCATTTAATTTAATATGTACAATAAATGTGCGCTTTCCATTTACAAATTATATGATTGTGAATCGTTCGTGAAATGATATTTACTTTCAGCAAATAAATATTTTAGGTCAAGTTGAAGAAGTTGCTTACATACATATTTTCTTTTAATGTGTTTTATTTCTTTGCAAAGAGGAATTTTAATCTGATTTAATATTTGAACTATTTAAGATTTATATTTTAGTTTTAATATTAGTGTTTCTGAAACAAATTTCCAAAATAACTTCGTAAATGCAATATGAGTAGCTCTTCGTAAATGTTCTTCATAAAAATGAGAAGGACTTTTAAGACTGAATATTTTATATCTGTAAAAACTATTAAGTAAAGCTTCGTTTAAAAAATCAACAACATTAAGACTTATTTAAAAAAAAAACTTCTTATAAACTATTTTTTCCCCCATTTAATTTAATATGTGCAATAAATGAGAAGAATGTGAGCTTTCCATTTGCAAATTATATGATTGTGAATTGTTCATGAAATGATATCTACTTTCAGCGCATAAATATTCTAGGTTAAGTTAAAGAAGTTGCTTACATTCATTTTTCCTTTAATGTGTTTCATTTCCTTACAAAGAGGAATTTTAATTTGATTTAATATTTGAACTATTTAAAATTTATATTTTAGTTTTTATATTAGAGTTTCTGGAACAAATTTCCAAAATAACTGCGTAAATGCCCTTCATAGAAATGAGAGGGACTTTTAAGACTGAATATTTTGTTTTTTATGAAAACTGACGCAAATTGATGTTGCATGACACGCGAATGAATTTTTTAAAATCAGGCAAACACCAAATTGTGATAATTTCAGAAAATGCTGCATATGAAGACTGTTTAGATAACAATGATTCTAAGGATGCTTTCTTAGGGCGGTCTAATGCATGCTTTCCAAATGATTCTCGTGGTGTTGCCAAAAATTGTAAAAGCTTCAGTTTTTAATTGCCAATAAAATATTTTGCTGTTCTTTAAGAACTTCAATGGATTTTTCTCATACTGACGAGATTTTTCAAACGATTTTTCTCAAGCTGATGATTTTTATCGATTCTTATCGAACGATTATTAACGATTTTTATCAAACGATTTTTATCAAACTGACGAGAAAAATACCTTAAATATTTATTTGACTGCCAAAAAATTTTATAGAGTGGTAGATAATTGAAACTAAAACTTTCAGGATTTTTGGTGGCAACATTTTAAAAGTCTCACCACGAAAGACAAAATGGCGTTTCATATAAACTTTTAAATTATTTGCATGTAGTGGTGTGGAAAATAACTTTAAATCAAATATTCAAAACAAAGAATAATACATTACATCAAAGCTACCATAGGAAGAAATTTTTCCAAAAAGTGTTGTCAACCCTGTGTTTACTAAAATCATGTATCATTAATTATTATTTCTATTGCTGCAATTAAATCGTTAGTTGTTGTAATAAACCAATATAAAAACCAATAATTAACGTCAACTTTTTGTGATGACATGCTATTACAAGAATGTAACTTGCTCCGCTATGTGGACAGTATATTTTTAGTGCTAGCAAAATTAATTTTTACGAATAATTCTCTGTTTAGTAATTTTAATTTTAAATTATTTTCCTACTACTACATATACATAATTCAAAAGTTCTTATAAAATGATATCTTATAAAAGATAATTTGAAGTATTTTGACGTTTCTTCTATGCTAATACTGGCATAATACTTATTTGTTTCAATAAATCTCAGCAATAAAAGAACTTTTGAATTTGTAAGTTAGTATGTTTGCGATAAGTTTGTAAGTATGTTTGCGATATTTTTTGCTCATTAAATAGGAAAAAAATCTCAGCAAATTTGAGTTTTGAATGAAAGGTTGGCAACAAAATATTAACCATAATTGAAGTGATTGTTGGAATTTATCATTTTGGCAATGTGAATTATAGGGGAAGTAGCGTCAGGGATATTATATTTTGGGTTAATCTTACGTCACTTCATGACATCATCAATGACACCTTCCCCAATGGATTCCAAAAGTAATATGGAACCGAACTTTAATATGACATTTCCAGTTGAACTTGACGTGGCACGTGTTTTTTTTTTTTTCGTTGAATTTCAATTACAAAATAGTTATTTAAATGTATTAAGGATCCCATTTGGATAAATAAAAAAAAAAAAGAATCGGTTTGATATAAAAGCATCATTGATTTTTAGTTTAAGGTGAATTAAATTGTAAGAAAGGAGAGATTGGTTATGAGTTTCGATTTATGATGTGTTCAGTTTAGGAATATGTTAGCGATTTTTATGGCATTCTCCGTTAACCTTACGAAATTAAACTTCTAATTCGCTTTTCACCGAATTTATTGTTTCATTAATATTTTGCTGATGAACCAGAATTATTTTAGAGAGACTGAAATGCTGTTGAAATTGCTCATGCGAGTTTGTAACGCAAAAAGTAATTAAGAATGTAACCACAAGCAAAATAAAAAAAATTACAGAAATTAAACAAAATTATAGTAATAAGTTTATTAAAAAAAATGCATAGCTTCCACGTTTTAAAATTTTTCAAACATTTTTTTTTTTTTAATGTTTCTTAAAAACGTTAGACTGCGAGATTGTCATCTCTTTTTAATGCTGGGCAATTTTTATACAAAGATTATAACATACATTTTTTTAGACATTTAAAAAAAGAATTTGAAAAATATTATTGGTTGCAATTTAATATAAATATGAGAAATATTTGATAAAAATATGTAATTCTAATGACTCATTATAGAAAATACAAAAACACACGCGATTTGGTGATCTAGTACAATAGCATATACTTAGTTTAAAATAAAAAATATTGATTATCAGTAAAAATAACGAACTACAGTATTTTTATGCGTGAGAATGTTGGTAAGTGCGGAACAGTTTCGAGTTTATAGTTATAAAAAGATTTTAATTATTAAGAACGAATAGATGTTATTGAAAATTTTCTATGCATCTAATATTTCGAAAACAGTCTATTACTAATAATTTTACTTTCTAAGTACGTAATTATGTTTTGCTCTATTTTAGTTTTGTGAAATTTAGCAACAATAAGTAAGCTTTATACAGGGATGGGTGCTGAGGGAGCTTTAGCCCTTTCATATTTTCTAAATGTGAGAATCTACTAAGGTTACAATTTTTCAATTAATATTTGTGTCATTAAATTTACAATTAAAAAATCAGCTAATTTTTTTTTTGTCAGAATACTAAAAAAAATTTTTTATATCATTAGAGATGAGTTCAATCTTACTCATGGAGGTAAATACCCAATCTAGCCCTAAGAATTTTAATCCGAGCCCACCAGAGGGCGAGATTACTTTGAGTTCGAAATATACGTCGAAAAGGTCAAATTTTGCAGTCTCGTCACTCGACTCTTGATGTCTACATACGGAAATTTGTCGTTAAAACCTTTTTATCACTAACCTGTAAAACGAAAAGTAAGGAGAAAAAACTTAACCTACAGAAACTCCAAGATGACTAAAACAAAAATTTTAAAAAAAAAATTCAAAATCTTCAGCTAAACAAAAGTCATTTCTCATTTGACAAATAGTGTTAGCCTCACAAAAGCACCGAGCAGAAGTAACAGATTTCTGTTATGCCTTACAGATCTCCTTTTCTCAGTTATAGTCTGAGCCTATCTCATCTCTATCCCTCATATACGAATTTTAACCAATAGAATGTCGGTAGGTTTTAGATAGTGTTTAATGTCCAATTTGGATATCGCAACATTCAATCTGAATTCTACTTAGTGCTTATTTTGGAAAATATTCAATATCTGTTTTAGCTATGTGACACGTATTTTACACAATCCTAAACATCTTTTTCAGGAAAAATTAATACTCAATTTGGGTGTCTGTTTTAGGAGGAACTCCACATCCGAATCGGATATACATTTAAATATCTTTTATCACATTTAGTATTTATGTACTTATTTTAGATGTTAAACTTACAGCTTCATTTGCATATTTCTTTTATTAAAGCATTACAATAAAAGTTTTTAATTAAGAGATATCAACTTCCTAAAACTACTCTTGTTTAAGAAATAGGACAATTAGCTCAATTTCTATCCAATAATAAATAATCAAATAATCTTAAATCAGTAATGTGTGAAATTTTCTCTATCATATTTCAACTAGTCAGGATCTTGATTTGAAATGACTATAAAAATATTCCCATGTCTTACAAAATTGCTTGGGAATTTATCTCCCACTTAAAGGGCAAAATTGTGAACTTTTTATTTTCCCTAATAATTTAGATCTTTATTCAAAATAAAATAATGATCACAAATTACATTAATTAAATACCATTAGTAAAGAATTAGTAGTTATTTTTATTAGAATCTGAGACTGAGGAAAGGGCGCACATCCAGCATTTATAAAGTAATTCATGCAGGTATGAAAGAGAAAAATGGGTAAACTTTTTAGGCACATTTAAAGATAAGGATTTTTTTTAAACACACATGGCATGCAAGGCATATGAGCAATTCTACAAATAAACTCCAATTAGGCGGCCAAATGAAAAAAAAAAATTTTTGGTCGCCTAATTGGCGTTTATTTGTAGAATTGCTCATATGTCTCATTTAATTTTTATTAAAATGAAAATTTTAGTTGTTTAAGCAATCCAAATGCACCACATTTTTGCAAAGTCTGAACAAAAAACTTCAGCAACAAACTGTTTAATAACAAGAAAAAAAAGACTTCTTTTTGATG